GTCGCCGGGAGCCCTGCGGGCAGCGCCCCACCACACCCGGCGAACCCCAGCGCCCCACCCGCCGGCGTCGCCGCCGCTGTGGCGCCCCCGTTGCGGGCTGACGCGGTCGCCGGCAGCAAGGCAGGGGCCGGGGGTTGTCATCAGCGCCCCTATCGCCCGGCTGATACGGCCTGCCATGTGCTGCCCCTGGCATGTGCGGCCTCGTGTCTACTGCCTCTGCAACGATCTCAGTATGCGGCCGCTCCTGCCAACAGCCGCCTATATTGTGTGTGTATCTATGCCAGTGGTGCCGCGAGTCTGGTGGTGCCGCGAAAGGCAGGCAATTCACAGGCCGGCCAGCCTTGCACCCCTGGGCCGGCTGGTCGGAACATCATTTCGCTGGCGGCAGGTCGCGCCGCGGCCTTGCGGCGTTACCGCTGCTGCCTTTGGGCCCTGCATTAGCGGCTGGGCCCCATGGGCTGCTGCTGCTGCTGCTGCTGCTGCTGCTGCTGTTGCCGCAGCCTGCGCCTTTGCCCCTGTACTGTTCTGTCCACAACACCAGTGACCCACGAGTGTGTATGTAACACTTTGAACGCAGGCGCGCACGTCCACGTCCCCAGCAGGCCGCAGCTGGTGGCCTTGCCACACACAGCAGCAACACTAGTGAGGCTGCAGCCGCACCCCTGTCAACGCGCACCCCTGACGTTGCGAAACCCCTTGGCGCAACACCGCCAACACTCGGGCAACACACAGGGGTTCCTGTGCCAACGCTCCCAGCAAGAAGCCGCGCGACGCGGGTGGTCGCGCACGTCAAGTGACGTCATCGCGAGTCATGATGCGTCAGCCGACGAAGAGGTACTCCCCGTAAGACCGCGACACGACGACGCCCGCGGTAAACACCTGCCACGGTCAGGGGTGGGGGAGGGGAGTGGGTTGCGGGTGGTGTAGTTGCAGGCAGGGTGCAGGCGGTACAGCGGGAGGAGGGAGCTTTGGGGGCGATGGCTGGCGGGGAGAGCCGGAGTCGGGAGACCAGGGACTCTGCAGGGCTGCAGGGCGGACTCTCGCGCCTCGCCCCTCGGAACAACGAGCGCCGCGTGCCCCTGCGACCCACCCGCCTCAGGGTCGCCAGCACAGCGCGTCCCAGGGCTGCCCCCTGCCCTTGCCGCCAAGTCCATCACCGCCGCAGCGACCTCCCCCACAAGCCCCAGATTTTGCTGCCAGTTCCCCCCTCCCCTGCACCCACCCAATACC